TATTTGACCTATAATTCCAACTTTCTCACAATATAATCCAGGAATTTCATTTCTATAATATAGAATTTATATTTGTTAGATTTATATTAAAGATCTACTTTCTTTAAGTATTTTAATACTTTATATATATTCAATATATATTATTCTTTTATTTCAAAAAATACAAGAATATTATTCAAATAATATATATAATAAATATCTAGATATTTTCTTAATATATTATTAATTAATTATATATACATTATTAATATATTAATTAATCTAAATAATATAATCTGATACTTATATAATTTATATTGAATTCTGAACTTTATTTTCTATTCTTCATCTTTTTTTATTCTGATTAAATAAAATCCGTTCCTTAAATCAAACTTAAAGAAAATCCTTACTTTTTCTAATCAATCTTTTAATTCTATAATTAATAAAAATAGATATCGATCCTTAATTGTTATATCATTGAATTTATAATAATTTATATATAATCTTTTAATATTATCTTTCTTGAGTATATATAATATAAAACTAATTGTTTGTAAAATTAATTCTTTAATTCAATTCTTTTTTAATATTATAAGAAAGTTGAAATTATAAACCAAATATATAAAGGTTTTAATTAATCAATTATATAATCTTTTGTAATTAGATATAAAAAAAAAGCCTTTTGTTTCTTTTTTTTATAAAAATCAACCTTCTATATATATACATTTGAATTTATATAATATCAATCTCAAAATCATTGTAAATCCTATTTTATTTATAAATGATATATTACAATATAATCTAATTCAGCTTTCTCTTCTAATTCCCTCCTTACAATATGCTATCAGAATATACATATCTCGACCTACCACTTTTACAATATATCATCGATATATTTCTTAAATATTTTTAATTCTAACTTTAATATCTGATAAATTGATTTGAATAGAAATGTTTTGTTTTCTTTCAATATTATCTTATAATTCTATAATTTATATTTTGATAAAATTTTATAATTTTTTTTTTTTCAAATAACTTTTTATATTTTTGGTATTATATTAATATTAATATTTTTTTGTTTCTATATAGAAATAATATTAAATAATTCCTTTTATTTATTTTTATTTATATAAAAATTTATTTTCTTTATTGTTAATAAAGAATTTTGGATTGAATATTTTATATTAATAGTATTGTTTGTTTTTAATTTCTTATTATATATATTCAATCTTGTAGATTCTAATATATTATAATAATTGTTTTTGTTTAGGAAGTTTATAACTTCAATAATCTAATTGATTTTGAAGTTATATATCTTTAATTATAATATTTCTAAAATGATCTATTGATTTTCTAACAGAACAATATTGAATTAGATGATCTCTTTATATTGGATTATATTCATTTATATTAAACAAATCTCCTACGAAATCTTATTATTCAATCTTATTAATTATTTATCAATTAATTACAATTGATATAAGATTTATTTTGTTTAAAACTATATCTTCAAATACTTTATAGTTTTTAATATAATAAAATTCCTTATAACTTTTAAATCGATTATAACTTGGATTTTTTGTTCATTTATCTTGATATTATAATAAATCTGTTTTGTCTGATTTATAATATTTAATTGTTTTTAATTTATAATCTTATTTTGATCAATTTGATCAATTTGATCAATTTAATCGATTTGATCAATTTGATCGATTTGGTCAATTTCATATAATTGATTATTTTAATGATTATATAACGAAATATTTCTTCTTCTCCTTTTATAAGGAAATCATTTTATAATTTCTTTATTTGATAAATGAATCCTACAAAAATCTTTATAACAAATTGTTTAATTTATCGTTGTATATTTTATTAATAATATTTCTTTTAGGATTTCTTTAATCAAAAAAGATAATAAAGTTCAGAGATATTTCAATTTATATCAGTTTATTTCATTCAAGCCTTTCTAATCTCGAAATATTATATCGATTTCTTTTTGATATTATTTTTATTTATAATTATCGTTTTCGATTGTATTGAGTATAAATAATAAAAATACAAAGGTAATATTGAGTTAGTTTTTTCTAAATCTAGTTTTCTTATAATACTTTTTTTAATCTTATAATTTCTTATTTTGACAATTCTTGAATTAATAATTTGATTTATTATATCTAAAATATAACTTATTCTTTCATCTTCGATCTATTTCTTTTTTAAGTAATTTGTTTCTGAAGATTATATTGTAAAAGTGATAGGTCGAGATATATATATCCCGATAGCACATTGTAAAGAGGGAATTGAAAAAGAAAGCTGAATTAGATTATATTGTAATATATCATTTATAAATAAAACAGGATTTATAATAGTTTTAAGGTTGATGATATATAAATTCAAATATATATATATAGAAGATTGATTTTTGTAAAAAGAAGAGATAAAAAGCTTTTCTTTTATATCTAACTATAAAAGATTATATAATTGATTAATTAAAACCTTTATATATTTGATTTATAATTCCAACTTTCTTATAATATCTAATTATATTAAATCTTTATACGATTATTAATAATCTTGAGATCTTCTTTTATTCTTGTAATATTTATTATAATCTTGATTTCTATAAAAGTTAAAGGATCGATATTCTCTTTAATATTCGTAAAGTATCTCATCCATTTTGATCAACTCCTCAATTAATTTGTTTAGATCTTCTCAAATATAATTACAATTCAATTCTAATCTAATTTTTGTTTTAAATTCTTTTTTATAATAATTTATTATAGTATTCTCTTTCTATTTCATAGTATTTATATATCATCTGAATTCTATAGTATATTTCACAACTAATTTTATTTATTTAAGATTATAAATCTTGAATTCAATATTGTATATATCACGATTCACGGTTTTCTTTATAATAGTATTATTAACATCGGTGATTTATAGACCGACTATAGGGGGGGTGTGATTCAACCATTGCTTTCAGGGGTCCTGATTACCTAAGCCTAGGACCCCAAGATTCCTAGGATAAGTATTCTAAACAATTATAATAGAATAAGATAAATATCTTAACTAATTGAATATAATAAGACTATTATTTTAAAGGATATCATATCCTAGGACTATAATTCCTAAAAAGAAAGCTTCTAGAACAAATATTCTAGGAAAGGAAAGACTTTAAAATATAAAAGATTTTAGGATCAATTATGTAATGTATTAGTTTTACTAGCCCAATTAATAGAGTTAGTATTATAGGAATGTTAATTATACTAATCTAATTAGTATAATTAGTATAGGAAAAAAGATTAATATATAATCAGAATAGTTTTATAATTTAGAAATTTTGTATTCAATTTAATTATCAATTAATTTATTTATATTTCAATTGATTTAATAATATATTTATTTTCGAATAAATAATCAATGATTATTAACCTTAATCTACAATTATCAATCAGACAAAACCTTGAGATAGTTGTTGCCTTTATTAGATCGTTACACTTTGAGTATTGTTACAATTAAGTTATATACAATACAATAACTTCTAACCAATAGTTTATTGAATCGTCTTTATTTAATCCAATTAAGACCTTTGTTTAAATCATTATTATTATAGAATATAAACAAACGATTTAGATATCCATTTTTGATTTATTCTATAGAGATTATAACAAATATCAAGCTTTTATTATACAAATTAATCTCTATTATATCTTTAACAAACAACTTTTCTTGATTTCTATATAAAAGATCTTATAATTGATCTTCTTTTTTTGTAGAATTGTATTTAATTGAATTGAATTATTTTTCAATAATCTAATAATCAAGATTATCGATAATCAATTGAATAAGAGTATGAAATCTGAGATTCATTATCTTTTCCTTAATTATGAATTGTTCAGATAGGGATTTGATAAAGCATTTGAGGAAATAGATTTCAATTATATAATTGAAAGAGTATTGTAATAATTTAGATAGATTGGATCAATTATAATCTATATTGTTAAGTTTCAATAATATACTAAATATATTATATAAGATAATGATTATTTAAAATTATAATTCTATAAAGGATTAAAGGATATTATCAAAGATGAGTTAATAAAAGCTTTGAAACTATTTAATCTTTTTGAATTAATCGAAACCTTTATTTTTATTAATAATTGATTCTACAAATGATAAATAGAAAAGAAAGAAATCATTCAAGAAAATAAAAAGTTCCAAAAACCTTATTATCAAAATAGATATTATAATATTAGTAATCTAATGGAATTGAATAATATCGAATAATGTTATATAAAATTAAGTAATCTAAATATTAATAAGAAAAAGAGATACAAAAAGAATAATTTATATTATATTTATAAGAAAAATAGATATATATTTTAAGATTGTTTTCAAAAAAAGAAATCATTTATTGTAAGAAATAAGAAACAAATGAGATTTGGGAATAAAAGATAAGATTTTCGAAAAGCAGAGATTTTGAAAGAAAGTTTGAGGGAAATGAGATTATTGGAAAAAGATTTATCTCAATTCAACTCTAAGTAATTAAAGGAATTAAATATCAATAATCAAAATCCTAGAATTGATATTAAGAACAATATCGATTATAAAAGAGAATCTTTAAAAGATCTTGAATCAAAAGACGAAGAATCAAATGAGAAACTTGAGAAGGATCAATGATCAATTGAATCCCATCAATTGTTTCGAGGAAACGAATTATAATATCTAATCAGTTATTTAGATAAGAAACGGATATAGTATTATTATAAAAAAAAGAAATCTGATTTTATTAAGAAATATAGAATCTATAATCATTTTATTTTGTTAGTATTTTATATAATAATATATGATGATATTTATTATATAGTATTTCAGGAAAATATTAGAACAAATAATACTAAGAGATATATTATAGATATAAGTTCTTTATTCTTCAATAAAGTATAGGAATACAATAAATAGGATTTGGAAATTGAAGAGATATAGGAAATCCTATTATAAGTTGAGATTTGTTATATTTAATGAAGGATCAATAGCGATAATAAAGAAGTATCAAATCGAGATTATTATCAAGATTTCCAAATAAAATCAATAGAATTATTATTTATTATATTCTATTGATTATTGAATATAAACAAATATTAATATAAATAAATAAATCTCTTTATTAAAGAACAAATCATTGAATTACTATTGTTAGAACTCAATGATATTATAGAAATCGAGTAATTAATTATAGAAGTTAAATTAGAAAATCAATAAATCAATGTTTTGGTTGATTTCGGAGTTATAAATATATTTATAAATCTCAACTTTACAAAAAAGAATAAAATTCTTATAGAATTAAAACAGAATCCTTATCAATTGATATTGTTAAAAGGAAAGAAAACTGGAATTGATAATTGGATATATAAAGAAATCAATATTATCAAAATGATTATATTAGATAAATATATTAAACAAATCAAAATAGATTTAGTGTTATTAGACAGATATATAATTGTTCTCGGTATTTTATAAATTAAGAAATATAATCCAAATATCGATTAAATAAAAGATATTTTAATATTCGATTACTATAATTGTAATAACGAATGATTATATAGTCCGAAGGAATAGATTTCCAGAGAGATTAGATATTATACTATAATAACAACAGATCCTTTATTGATTAATAGAATTAATGAAAAAGAAATTCCAGTGTAGTATAAAAGATTCATCAAGCTTTTCGAAGATCTATAAGATTTGAAGGCCTTATCAGAATATAAGTTTTGGGATTATAAGATCAATTTCAAAAAGGGATTCGTATTTTTTATCAAAAAGTTGAGATTATATAATCTTAATATTATACAAATATAAAAAGAATACAGGATTAAAATTGAAAAAAAAGAATGGATTAGGAAATCCAAATTCTTTTGTATATCTAATGTATTATTAATATTCAAGAAAGGCAATTTAGATGATCGATTTTATAAAGATTATTATTGGATTAATAATGGAATAATCAGAGATATATATTTAATACCGAAAGCTTAGGAATTAAGAGATAAATTGAATAAAGTAATAATCTATATAAAATTGAATTAAAGGAATGCTTTCAATTTAATATAAATAAAAGAAGATTATAAATAAAAAACAATCTTTATATTATTATTGGGTTTATAGGAATATATAGTTATATTATTTGATTTAATTAATATATTAATTATATATCAATAATAAAACAATAAGATATTTAAGAAGTTCAATTTATTTATAATTTGTTATTTGGATGATATTCTAATCTTTTTTTAGAAAGAAAAGGAATACAAAGGATATATATTGAAAATATTCGAAGCATTTAGAAAAATAGATTTAAGATTCAAATTATCGAAATATAAGTTTGGAATACAAAAGATAACATTCTTAGAATATATCATTCAATTAGAACAAATGAATATAAATTTTAAGAAAATAAAGAAAGTAAAGAATTAAGAAAGATTTAGAAATATCAAGAATATATAATCTATATTAGGATTCGTTAATTTCTATCGAATATTCATAAAAGATTTCTCGAAAATAATAGAATCTTTTATTGAAATGATCAAAAAAAGAATAACTTTTATATAAAATGAAAAAATAAAATAGATTTTCCAAGAAATCAAAGATAGATTTATAAAAGAATCTATTCTTTATAATTATTATAATAATCGAGAAAATATTATCGAAATAGATATCTTTAATATCTATATAATAGAAATTCATTTATAAAAAAACAATAACAGAAAATTATACTTTATCATTTATTATTCAAATAAAATAAACAAAACAAAATAGAATTATAATATTTATAAAAAGGAATTCATAATTATTATAAAAATATTAAAACATTAAAGGATCTATTTCTAAAAGATTAAATTCCCAATAATCATTTATATTGATTATATAAATCTTTGAATCTTTATTATTATTAAAATCTTGAACAATTATAGATTAATTAAATGAATTAAGGAACTAATAAGATTCGATCTGATAATCAAATACATCAAAGGAAAAAACAATACAAGAATAGATATTTTGAATAGATTATCAGATTACAAAAACAATAAAACCTATTAAGAAATAACAATCTTGAAATCTTTATTAAATAAAGATTTTATCTCTAATTTAATAGAAATTATCATTATAAAAAATAAACCAACAAAAATCTAGAAAAATAAACTTATAAAAGTATAATAAAATAAAAAAAGTATTAAATAATCAAAACTATTAATAATTGTTAATAGATTATTATAAATAAAAAACAAAATATAATTATCAAATAATATCATTTCTAAATATATCATAAAATAATATATATTATTAATTTATAAATATTAAGGAATACAAAAAACATATTTAAAAAATAAAAAATAATATTAAAATCCAGGATTTTGTAATATAATCAATAAAATAATTATCAAGTATAATATTTATATTAAGAATAAAACTTTCTATTATACTCTTTATAAACAAATAAATATCATCAAAATACTATTTATACTATAGAAATCAATATTATAGGATTTTATAAATTTATTATCAAAATCCAAGAATTCAATAATAAGAATAATATTATAAAAGTGATAAGTCGAGATATATGCGTCCTGATAATATATTGTGAGGAAGGAATTGGAAGAGAAAGCTGAATTAGATTATATTGTAATATATTATTTATAAGTAAAACAGGGTTTATAATGATTTTGGGGTTGATATTATATAGGTTCAAATATATATATATAAAAGATTGATTATTATAAAAAGAAAAAATAAAAGGTTTTTCTTTTATATTTAATTATAAAAGGTTATATAATTGATTAATTAAAATCTTTATATATTTAATTTATAATTTTAACTTTTTTATATTTTTTCTTTTCAAGATATATATATTCCTTTTTATTTATTAAAAAAAATAATTGATTAAAATATAGGATATATAAAATATTGTTATTAATAGCTTTTTAGAATAAATATAAAAATTGAATAATGAAAAAAAGATTTGTTGAATTTGGAAATAATTCTTTATTTTTTAGTAAATGATTTAATAGGAATTTTGTTTTTATTAATATTTTTATTAATTTTCGAATGTTTAGATTTTGGTTTTGAAAGTATATTTAAAAAAAGAAGAGGTTCGTTGGATTCTGAGTGGAGATATTTAAAGATTCAGGAAGGTAAAAATGACTTTTTTCTCGATTTTGAAGATAGTATAAGGGGAATTGGATTTTATTGTTTTTGAATAAAAAAAAGAAATAGTTTTTGTATATTAAAAAGATTAATAATAAGCTTTTTTTGTTATAAAGTTTTTTTTTGTTTTGATTATATTTTAAAAATTGAGAAGAAATCTTTTAGTTTAGATTCAATATAATAAATAAATTTCTTTTTTTTCTGAGATGGTTTTTGAAAAATAAATAAAGAAATTTCTTTTTTTTGAATAGAGATTTCTAAATTGATAATCTTTTATTTTTCTTTTGGGGTTTTATTAATAAATTTAGATATTATCAAATTTTTAATTCTAAGAATAATCTGTTTTTATTTATAAATTGAGTTTTATATAAAAAGAGAATATATTTTTTAGGATTTCTTTTTCTATTTCAAAATTTCGAAAATCGTTTGTATTTCTTTAAGTTTATATTTAAGAAGCTTTGTATATATTTTTATAAAGTTTTTGGATTTATAATTGAATAGTATATAAATTTTGTTTATTATCGATTTCGAATATCAAAAAACTTTTTCTAAAAGAATTTGTAAAACAAAAATTAAAAAAGATAATATTTTTATATCAAAAAGAAATAATTTTGGTATATAAAGTTCTTCTTTATTGAGTTTCTAAGGAATAAAAGGAATAATTTGATTTTGAAATAATTAAAAAAGATCTTTTTGAGAGGTGTTATCTTTTATTTTATTATTATTAGTATTTATAGTAAAATAGATGATTGGTATTATAATCGAATTATGATTCTTAATGATATTAATAAATCGAAGAATTGTATTGAATGGTAGGACAATTGTATAGGAATCTTTTTTGGTTAATATTTATTAATGAAATTTATTATCTTTTTTTGTTTGTTGAAAAACCTTCTTTTGTATAAATTAATTTAGATTGTATTAGGGTTGATAAGAAAATAAATGTTTCTTAAAAAGCTTTTTGATTAAACAGAAATCCTTATTAAGATTAATTAATATCAATATTTGATGTTCTTAATATATTTCAGTTAATGCTTTGTTAGATTTGGGAAGGTTTATTAAAATAGTAGTTTTTGGAAGTGATTTTATGTTTTGATATTTGGATATCAGTTTTGTAAGATTAGTAAAAGAATAATATAAAGTTGTTTTTCAATTATAATCTGGAAATCGAAGAATAGGAAAAGGAATAGGAATAAGATAAAACTTTTTATTAGTGTATAAGAGTATAATAATTTGTTATAAGGTAATATTATTTCTCAAAAGTATTTGGGTTAGAGAATAGTAACAATTTGGAAATGGATTTTTTTCAAATTTATTATAAAAATTCTATTTATAAATAATAAAAATATTTTCAAGATTAATTTTAAGATTTAGAAAGTTTTTATATTGTAAAAAAAAGATAAATTTAGGAATTCTTATAAAAATTTGTTTTCGGAAGAATATTTCGGGGATAGGTTTTTTCTTAATAAATTTAGTTTTGAATTCTGGAATTATGTGAGAAAAATATATATTTAATTTTGAGTTGAAATAATAAAATCTTTGAATTTGTTTAATTCGTTTAATAGTTAATTGTATATAGGGATGGAATTAAGGGTAAAATTGAGTAGTTAGTTTTATTTTATTAATATGATTTCGATTGTAAATTATTGTAATTAATTGGTTTCGAAGTTCTTTAATAGGAATATGCTTAATCTTTATATTAAATAGTTTGATCAAAGTATGTAAATGGTATGTGTAAAAAACTTTTTCAATGATATTTTTATTAAGAGATATAACAATTATTTATTTTATTTGATTAGTAATATAATTTTTATCGATTAATGTATATCATTTATTTTCGAATTGGAGGTCAGGTTTATAATTACAATTTTTCAGTTTCTAAAAGGAATTTAAAATAATTCTAAAAAGTTTTTTAGATGTATTATTATTATTATTTGAAATTGCTTTTGAAATAAAATCAATTTTTCGATGATAAAAGATAAACTTATTTAAAATGAAAAGATGAAAGAGGGTTTTCTTTGAAAAATTGAATATATAGTTTCGTTTTGTTTATTTATTAATATTTGTAGTAGTAGATTTAGAAATTGATATAATAGTTTGTTTGTAAAGGAGATAAAGAATTTGTAGAGAATTAGAGATATTAATGGTTTTTAATTCTTTTTTAATATTTAGATTTGTTTCTGATTTCTTATTATCAATCTCTTTGATCCTGATTTTATTGGTTTTTTTGAAGTTTTCAGATATAGATTCTTGAGATAGAGTGGAAGGGGTTTCATTAGATTTATATTCTTTCAGAAATCTAAATCTATTGATAATAAATTAATATTTTTTGAGGATTGGATTTTTTTCGAAATCGAAAGATAAAGGTTTCCAATTTTTTTTTGTTTTTGAATTCGAATTTGTAATGAAGATATATATATTGTAGAATTTTATTGAAGTATATTTTTTGTAATTATAATCTTTTTTTTTGATAAATCTTTGAATTATAAATCTATTTAAGAATTTAATAAGGATCTAGGAGTTAAATTGTATAGTGTAGAAGGTTATATTGGTTTTTGTAGTATTTTCTTTTAATTCTTTATTTTGGAATTATAATTTTATGAGTTCTTTTTCTTTGAAAATT